ACTACAACGAAGAGTAAAAATGTTCGAGGTCCCAAAAAGCTATTGGAGGGCCGCTTCATCATCTCGGAGTTCAATGTGGAAACAGGCAAACCGGGGGGGCCAAATAAAATGAAATTCGTGCACCACTGTGGTTACCTTGTACGGGACCGGCTCTCGATTAGTACCCGCGAATGGAAGAAGAAGACCAATGCTCCTCATATCAGTTTTGTCTCCGATCGTGATAAGACGTTAATTTGGAATGATGTCTTGGAACATTTCACGCTCCAAACAGATGGTTATGATGATATAATAGATGGTGATGAATTGAAGGAGCGAGCTAGGGATTGGGCAATGAAGAAGATGGCCACCCAGTTTCAGACTTGGAAGAAACACCTATACACGACGTATGTCAAGAAGAACATAGCACCAGATTTCACTGTCCTAGGCCCGATCTCAAAGCAGAGGCCCTATTGGGATGAGTTTGTACAGTACAAGACGTCGGAAGAGGGTGTGAGTCGGGTGATAAAGAACCAACGTAATGCCCAATAGAAAACATACCACCATAACTTGGGATCAGGTGGCTACCTGACTGCCATTAAGAAGTGGAACAAAATAGAAGCAGACCTTCTTGCCAAGGGTATCACACCAGAATCACTCAAGTGGGGAGAACGTGCAAAGAATTGGTTTTTTGCTCATGGGGGAACACTGGACCAGGAGACAGGGAAGTGCGTTTATGGCGCAAGACTGCAAGAAGCAGCAGAAAGATTGTTTTATGCTCAGAGAGCTACTGCTAGTGGTGCGTTCAGGCCCAACAGAGAGAAGGATGAACTGACATACGCCATCGGGACTATTGAACACGGTGGCCAAACTAGAGGCAAAGGAAGTGTCTCGTGGGAGCATGGATTCCCTCAGGACAGACCTTCCTACAAAAGCCACCAGAGAAAGAAGGAAGAAGAGGCACAGCGGCTCTAGAGGTTGGAGGAAGCGGTGCGTGAAGCACAGAAGCGGGAAAAAAACCTTGAAGCGAGAATGCAGGAGGAAATCAGAAGGCAAGTGCAAATAGCAGTGAGTGCAAGCAAGCAGGCATCAGAGCCAGGAATCAACATTAGCCAATCTGTTCAGTTGAAAAGCAGCTGCGGTTCCATGGAGATACCAAATCAAGGGGACACAGGACTGCGCTTCCCTGTGGATGACGTCACTGAACCTTGTACATCGTGTGAGCTACACATTCTGAAGGGGAATTCCACAATCAAGGTGGCTATCGGTCTTGTTCATCCTATCGACCGAACCAAGACACCAAGGATTCATGGGAATATAATCCAAGAAGGATATGCTACCGTCTTGTTCATCCTAAATCGCATTATCTTTATTAATTAAACATATAGCTTTCACCGGATCACCAGATTGGATGACAAATCTTTTTCTCGTAAAGTGGTGTCTGAGACAGGAACAGGGGAACAACTACTGTGGTTACTATGTTTACAAGTTTATCAAGGAGCTCTCCCAAAGAACTCCTACAGAGAGACTCAAAGTACGTTAAAAATACACTATATATTCATTTAATTATTATTATTGATTGTGTTACTATGTCTTTATATATATATATATGTATGTACATATATTAATTTATTTTCCTTTAATTCAAACCTATAGGCTCGATGGTTGGAGGAAAAGGTCATACGACAAGACCATATCAAAGCAATTCAAGAGTCTATAACCTATAGGCTCGATTTTTTAACGACCAGGTCATCGATTCCAAGGGCGAGTTCTACTTCGACCCAACACTGCCATGGAAGCCAAGCTAGAGGATGAGAGGAAAATTGTTATATCACAACAACTGTAAAATACACATATGCATGCATGCATGTAAATATATATATATATATATATATATATATAGTTCTATGCTTGAATTGTGTCATTTAATATGTTCATTGTGCTTGAACCAAAACATACTAATACGACTTCGAAAACCTATTTTGAAAAGAAAACAAAAAAATGAAAAGAAAAGAAAAAAACCTTTAGTCTCGGTTGGTATTACCAACCGGGACTAAAGGGTGCCGCCCTCGTGGCATGTCAGGAGGCACCTTTAGTCCCGGTTGGTGTTACCCACCGGGACTAAAGGTCCCCCTTTAGTCCCGGTTCCTGACCCGGGACTAAAGGACGCCCCTTTAGTCCCGGATGCTTGCTCCCGGGTGGGGAACCGGGACTAGAGGGGATTCCCCACCGGGAGTAAAGGTTGTTTCTGTACCAGTGAGCATCTTCAAGAGCTTTTGTAAAATCTACTCTCTAAATCATTATTTAGAGAGTCATTTGAGTAAAAATCGTTTTCTATATCTTTATACTCTCTAACAGCTTTTCTATATCTTGTGCGCAGTCTAGAGAGCCATCATCGCTATCTATCTTTGGTTAGCGAGAAATCCAGAATAGATGATATCTATTTTTGGATATCAAATTGAAGACGCTGCTGGAGGGTGTTTTTTCACCAAAATCTCTATTCCTGTAAATTAGGAAAGATATAAAGAGTCTCTTGGAGATTCTCTTATTTTAGTAGTAATAATATACATATGTTTGCAGCGTGCATCGAGAGGTGGAGAGTGTGTCGTCATAGGACTTGTCGAGGAGCCACCAATTAGAGAACCGCCTCTACATGGAAGAGTAGAGTTGGTTGGGCCAACCACCTCTACAAAGGCAACCCAACCACCTCTAAAAATGAAATCTGTAGTAGTGAGCCTCAGATTTGCAACACGTCAAAATTGAGTCGCAATAACCTATTGCAACATATTTAAATGCCACGACTCACAACGAAACCGACTTCGAAGCATTTGTTATGTATTGCAACCAAAACACCCATATTGCAACCATTCTTAGGCATGGCTTTAGGGTAAAATCCTTGTAGTGTACCTGACATGCCAGTTGTCGCGGGTTCGTAAACACGGCGAGCATCATGGTTGTCCGTCAAAAGTCGATGTGTGGGTCTCTGGTGGCTCAGACACTCAAAACACGGAAGGGACGCAGCGATTTATCCTTGTTCAGGCTTCTAAGCCCTACATCCAACAGTATAATGATCTTCGTGTAAAGGAGTGCCCAATCGGGGGTTACAATGGTGGAAATCGAGAGAGATTGGTAGGGGATCGCTCGGTGCTATCCTAGTGTTCGTTGGTGTTATTCCTCAGCAAGTAAGAAACCGACCTTCTCTAGCTGAGGTTCTCTAGTTCTCTTGGGAATCATCCCCCTATCCACAGGAATCGTCCCTCCCCTTATATTCCGAGGAGGGTCAGTGTACAAGTCGGTTTGGGTTCTAGTCTATCGTCTATGCACCGGGTGCACAAGTCCTCTGTCGCGGCATGGATGGACCTTGCCTTGTCGTGTAGGGAGGAGTTGATAGAGCCACAACCGCCTCCTAACGCCGCTGCCTCCATTCTGGTACTTGACCATCGGGAACTATCTGCTGCAGCGTGGCCTCCCCTGGGTGAACCTTCTCGAGGCTTTCTTGGCTGCAAGGAGCCCCCGTCCGGAGGGGCTGATGAGTGGGCCCTGGAGCCCTTTGCCCTCGGAGTTGGTGGAGTCTCTTGTCCAGTTGTGTCACGCCGGTTGCATGACCCTACTGACGGAGTGGCTGACGGGGCCTCACGACCATTGAACAGGCAGATGGCGTGGCATCTCCGTATCTGTCAGGCATCGGATGCCTGGCAGCTTCCCAAGGTAGGTCCTGATCCATGGCTCGGGACGTCGGTTATTCACCCGAGCACTGGCCCGGGTATGCGCTGGGTTGGAGTCAGGCTCGGGCTGCCATCGCTCGGTAGTCCGGGGTCTTTGGCAAGCCCCGGAGCCCCGAGCGTCGACCACGGGCGTGCTTGGGCTCTCCCTGACTCGTTCCAGAGGGTGTGCGTGAGTGTACCGGATGGGTATAGCCCCTGGGCGATCTGTAGGATCAGTCGGGGGTCTGTCGGTCGGCTTCCCCTTTCCCGAGGACTTACCATACCCCTATGTTAGACTCTCGCCAGATGGTAATCTTTTTAGCAACATGGTGATTAGGAATCTGGCAGGATGGAAAGTTTGGCTAAGGCTAGTTTGTGCCATGGTATGGTGGGTATTGTTATGGATGTGTTATGATATGGTGGTTGGATGTTTGGGCTTGTGCTCGTTCCTGCTTGGATTCTAAGGATCGGTTCTCGGAGCATGTAACGTGGCTTAACAGCGCAACCATGAGGTCTGGATGGGCTGGACCTCGCTAATTAATTAGTTTCCTCCAAGTTCTAGTTTGGCACAAAAGGGGGCTTTTGCAGGGGTGTTGGTACCTAGCTCTTCGGACTAGAAGATGGAGTTTCTGGAAGACGGTGTTTCCTGAAGACAGTGTCGATGCTAGGCTGGTGTACCCCCGGTCGGCTGCCTGCGGGGATGAAGACCCTGCTTCGCTAGAATTTTGATGTAATTTCTGTTTAGACCCTCTAGTCATTTTGTAATAAGTTATCGTTTTTGTAATAAACACTGCTCTGTATCACTATACTTGTCATTGCATGTATGAATAAACAGAACCTGGCATACATGTGATGTGCATTCGATTTTGTCCTTAAAATCGGGTGTGACACTATATTAACCTCATTTCCCTAATCCTCTTTCCATGCAAGGATTAAGCATATATTATTTACTCAGTGGTTTACCAGCTAATTCACGCCGCGCGCGAGGGCACGCGCGCGCAATGTACTAGTATTTCTATATATGTAAAGTAGATCTGCGTGCGCAGATTAGCTAGGCTGAAGAATCTCAACCTGCCAAAGAATCTCCATTTAATGGTTTGGTCTGGTCTGGTGCCCCGGGCCCCGGCCCAACAAATTAAAGAAACCCTGCGCCATAGCGTCGCGCGCTAGCTTTCTGTTTGTCGGAGACCACTGCTGTGAACCAGCCATCATCCCCTTCGCCAAAGTAAAGACAAATTAAACCAGCCACCATCCCCATCACCAAATTAAAGTACAGACAGATTCAACCAGCCAGGCCAGCCATTGCGGCTGATCTGATCGATGGGGCGTTGCCGTTGCTTCCCGGTTGCGTTGAGAAAGCTAATCGGCTTGGAACCGGAAGACGACGATAACGTCGTCGAAAGGCCGGAAGAGCTGATCAATCGCTACGTGAGGCTTATGACGGCCACAGCCAACATTACAAGCGGTCTTGGGGCGCTGGCGTTGCTGTGGTCCACCGTCGTCCTCCTCGGAGGCTTCGTCGCCGTTCTGGGGATGAAGGACTTTTGGACTCTCACCCTACTCAGCTTCCTAATGGCGTGCAGGTATGCATGTACCAAATCTTGTTTTGCCATGCATCTCCGATCCTCTCTGGAACTTAACACTGCACGTATGGCACTCTTATTGTCCTTAATTTTCCCTTTCTTCTCGTACATCCTATCAATTCTTCTATCTTGTTTCCTTAATTATTGTTACATATGAATGAAAAATAATTGAGGGGCTCACATATATACCTTACTATATACTTAGTTGAATTTCCCGAACGTTACTGGGGTGGTTAGAGAGTAACTAATTTTAACTTATATTAATTGTTGATGATTGCATTGGTTCAAATATATATTAATATAGATTTCAAAGTGCAAGTTATGTAAGGAAATATATAGGGAAAGCTATTTAGCACAACAGTGATCGGACATGTTTTATGGTGTCGGCCGTCGGGTGAAGAAAGTTAATGGGCACATAACTGGATCGATTTAGTTTATGACCAATGAGAATTGAGAAGGTGTGGTGCATTTGTTCGGAAAGGTACCCACGTAAACTAAAGGAACCGACGCCTATGTTACTGGCAACTTTTCTTTTACTTTTCTTATCATTTTTTGTTTTTCTATATACTAGCAAACGTGTCTTAGAATCAGACTTCGAATCAATCATCGATGGACGTGAGTTGTAACTCATACGGGGTCATATGAGTCCGGGTTACATACGAGACAGTTTGGGAAGTAAAAAAAGTGGGACAGAAGAAACTCTTAACTGTCTAATAGTTAGGGGGGAGATGAAAAAAATAGGATGAAATTTTGGCTCTTTAATATTACATGCAGATAGATATATCCATGAATGAAACAAATAACATGGGAAAACTTACAGCGAGGATGAACCGTGCATATGCGTGAGTAGTCTATGCAACATTCAACGTTGATGCTATTCCTCATTGTTAGGCCTTCTCCTCACTATTAAGAGAAACATTATGCTAGCGCTTGTATTCCAGAGCTTTAACCACAATGATGTGCGCAGAGATACTTTCCCATGTTAACCTTAATTCCTTACAAAGCCTAATACCATATAAGAAGTGGTGTAAGTGACGAATAGGTGATTGTGCCAATTCTATTTGTTGGAAAGCAAGCGTGTGAAAGCGAGAGAAATGGATGGAACTTATGATTGTATTGATTGATGAACAGTAAATTTGTGTGTATAGAACTACTGTTCTGCAGCTGGTTATAGAATAACTTATTCTATGGTCACTTTGAGTTACGATAATTACTATGCTAATTTATAAGATTATAGTATACGTGATTTACTATAACGTTAAGGTAAATAACCCCATGTGTTATAGTAACACAACTATCGTAAATATGTATTTACTTTATCGTAAATTAGTTTAAAAATTAGGTGGCTATAGAATAACTTATTCTGTACTGAGAAATAGTTCCTTTGTTAGTGACACAAGTATATATATATATATATATATAGACACACGCGCGTGCGGTAGTGCTATTCTACACCTTAGGCCACAGCCGTGGAGATCTAGATGTGAGTTGAGAGAAAATACAAGGATAGAAAAATGACGGATAGACAGGGTGTCAGAGTTATTTATTTGTTGCAAAATTTGGGCCCAGTTTAGATGGCAAAAAATTTGGCAAAACGACACTGTAGCATTTTCGTTGTTATTTGGTAATTAGTGTCCAATCATAGTCTAATTAGGCTTAAAAGATTCGTCTCGTATATTTCGTCTAAACTGTGTAATTAGTTTTATTTTTTATTTATATTTAATACTTAATGCATGCGTCAAAGATTCGATATGACGGAGAATCTTGAAAAATTTAACGTTTTGGAGTGGAACTAAACAGCCCCTCGGAAGGATAGGAACGTGAATGGCGTAAACTAAATAGAAAAAAATTCCGTTCACCCGCCATAAGTATCTAGTACTACGTTGATTGATGGTTTTACTGCTGCAATGCATTAGACTATCATAGTTGCAGCGTGGCATACTACAACATAAGGTCGTGGCTAGGTACTAGTCAATATCAGGAGTTAAGAAATAGTAATTAGTTCACCGGCAGACAGCAGCGCTCCGTCAGTATATGTATGTGTATGTGTGTAGGGAGCTAAAGTATGTGTATATATATCATCAATTGTACTTGTCATCTATCGTATGCCGCGCTGACCAAAGTGCAAATTTGATACTATTCCACAGGGTGGTTGACAATTATGACAAGGAGTTTAAGAGAGGGATTTATACGGAAGAGGACAAAATCATGAGTTTTATCAGGCGTCAGAAATGGATCCATGAGGCCACGGCCATGTGTCAAAGAATCATGCTGGGTATGGCGTTATTACCCAAGTATATTTTGTTGACCTGCCTTTTGCTACTGTCCTTCAATGTTGCGCCGTATGTGAGCCTGGGGATCTCAGTGTGGCGTCTTGTACGACGAGATTATGGCGACGCCGGAGGAGATGTTGCCAACAGAGCAAAACTGAATGCCGCACTGGACATCTTCTATGCTCTAGCTCTGTTGCAGAGTCTATTCGTCCTGTACTGGGGTACCCTTCAAGTGATGTTAGAGTCGTCAGTTTGGGAAGTCACGGCTGTGACGAGGAAACAATATGGAGATGAAGAATGGAGTTTAACGCTAGTTGATATGTACCGTTCAGAAACAATAAGGAAGTTTAGGAAGGACGGGGAGCTGCCCGGCAATTGGAACTTCATCACCTACGGCGTTGAGTTGCTCCAGTCTGCATCTGGGGACGATGACCACCGATGGGGAGCAAGGATACTAGACAAGCTGATCTCTGGCAAGGATAAATCTGTAAGGCAGGAGCTGCTATCTTCCAGGCTCTCTATTCAGAATCTGATGGGCATGATTGGTCGTCGGAGAGGCGCAGCTGATGGTGACATGGAGAACAGAGAGCGCGCCACAACCATTGTTGCACACCTTGCCAGTGACCTCCATATAACAAGCTTCCCGGGTACATTGCAGTGCATTTGTTCCCTACTTGAAAGCACTAGCAGCTGTGACTGTGAACCAAAGTCGCATGCCTGTCCGTCAGGAAATCCTGATGAACAGGCGACACTGCCTACCGATGAAAATGATCATCAGCATGGGTCACTGGAAACATCCGAGCATCAAGACGATGGTACCCACATGGACATGGTAGCGCCCACCATCACAGACCAAACTGACGAGGAACGACAAGCAGTCGTCGTCAGTTCATCATCTTCCAGGTTAGCCGCCAAGAGGAAAAGAAAACAGATTAAGAAAGACTTTGAGGATAATCCCATCATCAGGGTCCGGCAACTAGACAAGGAGCTGAAGAAATATTCTGAATCCAAGTACCGCCGCTCCTATAAATCTAGAGGAGCCAAAGGCTGATTTCTCAGGGCCTCCTGATTCTTGAGAGGCTCACACAGGACCAAGGGAACTGTACAGAGATAAGTAAGGACCAAAGCCTCCTCTCTAGGATCACGTCACCACTGATGAGAAGCGCAAGCCATGGCGACTTCCTCACCAAGCTGAGCGACAACACAACGGTTGAAATGCTAAGCAAGTCACTCACAGTGCTGAGCAGGCTACTTACCGGTCCTGGAGATGACGTAACAAGGCTGCATCAGAAGCTGGCGAGTAACACAGAAGCTGTCAGCAATCTGATGGGTATCTTGGAGAATGACAGTGAAGGTGCCCAGAAACTGCATGAACAAGCCCTGGAGATCCTGACAGAGTTAGCATTCGATGGTTCTTTCAAAGAACTGGATTTTAACAAGCTTTTCAAGGCCCTGCTACGTATCTTCCTCGAGAAAGAGACTAACAATATTACAAAGCAAGAGCCCAACAATAATGCTACATCTCAAGTGGAACAAGCGGACACAGAGAGAGCACCCAAACTGAGGGGAAATGCAGGGGAAGCACTGGCCAGACTGCTTCCTGTTCGCGCTGCAAGAGGTATAATTTCCAAGCAAGAGGCGATCGACTTATTGAACAAGGTAACTCGCAACCTTTGCCTCTGCATCGCTTGTTATCTTGTTTGCAGTTTCTGAGATGTCACTTAAGCATATTATTTCTGTAGGTTCCAAATACTTTCCCCCACAGTTCATACGCTGATACGCATTTAGTGTGTTTGGGTCGACATTAGTATCCCTTCCGATCTCAAACATACACCATTTTACTAAGATAAATCCATCCGTTCCAAATTATAGGTCGTTTTGGGTTTTTTGAGTTCATAGATTTTGTTACGTATCTAGATATAGATTATGTCTAGGTGCATAATAAAACCTATATATGTAGAAAGTTAAAACGATTTATAAATTGGAATGGAGGGAGTACTCTGTGATATAGGTTGTTTTCTAGGCAATTTGGTCATCGATAACCATTTAAGCTGCTACCTGATATTGGCATCAGATACACTACACTAGTTCATGAAACCATACTCTCGCACGCCCGGTAGAATCTTAGGAGATATAAACAGTAGATATCATTTTTTAATACCTCTGACTAATTAAAAATACTTGTATTAATCTGCATGTTTTTTCTCTTATGTCATTTTCTAACACAAGACATAATAGATAATTTGTACTCTCTAACTAGTTATGATAAACTTATCAATTCCTAATCAATATTTTTTCATCTATATCTATTTTTTTTTTATTTTACACGGCACCTCTGAGCATGAATTTAGTTATAACCTTAACTTAAATAACGGTGGCTCTTATTTCAGCACATATCTTATGACATCATGAATTTAAATTTTAATTATCAAATTTAATCTATACATATTTTTTATCCTCAAGTTAAGTTAATACTTGTATCCTTATTGTATCTTTTATTATGTTCTTTAGTATTTTTTAAAATAAGGTTTTAGATCATAGATTACACTCTTGAGTACTAAGATGGTATAACATTGCTCAAGATTAGTGGTAGAGCTTGAAGTGAGATTTAGAATAATGTTGCAGTGCTAAAATTAAGAGGATATTAATTTAAGTCTTATAATGACTTGTTATTCCAAAGAAATCTCAAATGCCAAGAAGATTATAGCCACCTGTAGTCTGCATTAACCTCTCCACTTCTCCAGATGTTTGAATTTTCTTATGAAGGAATTATATGTGCAGTAATAGTTATAACATCAATAAAGATATGTCAAATATTTTAGTTAAAATGTAAAAATAGATCTAAATTTCTATGGCTATTAATATTGTTTTAAACACTTCGTTGGTATCATTAGTATATTAGTAGTATATATTAGGGGTTTATTTTGAATTATGTTTCATAATGGCAGGTGTAGGCAATTTAGATGAAAATCTAGGGGGTTATGACATAGATGGGTAATTTATATACAAATTTAGAGTGTTCTTGAATTATCTTTCATAATAGCAGAGGAGGGTAATTTTGATACAAATTCGGGTTTTACTAATGTATTTTTCATAATGGCAAATGTGAGTATTTTTTATAAAACAGAATAGATGTAATGGCTATCATTGGCGATGATGATTAGATCGTACTAAATTAAAGACCAGATGTATTTTATTATTGCAATAATTTCTAGCCGCTTTTGGTGAGAATTAACATAGAGGCTCTGTTAGGACCTCTAGTTAGTAATAGTAGTATGCATACGAAACTACAAGGGTCATCTTAATTTGTTCAAATAATCCATTAACTCCTCTCAATAATTTACGTACAGATAAAATGTCATGCTTGTTTCACTAGGGATGAATTGCATCAATCTGTATCATGTATGATACGATCGTAGTATTGCTGATCATTTGTATTAAATTATGTTTCTTGCAGGTTCTCCATAAAATACTATCTAGTAAAATGGGAACAACTGCAGATGCGGTAGAGATTGTCGTAGAAAACCAGCCCCAAGAAGATGCAGACACTGACAGTGTACAGCCTCCCATTCAGGAAAATGAAAAGCAATCTGAAGAAAGAAAATTTATGGCAGCCATGTTATCCCTCGCCGTGGTGATACGAAAATATGATCAGTAAAGAAGATTTTGCTTGTGCCACCCCTCGAGATGGAGCAGTGGCAAAGAAGCTCAAGGAAATATTACAAGTAAACAAACAGAGCACGGCTCAGTGTTTGAGGATAGTGAAGCTTACCTGCCAGGTGGTTATAGTCATGATTGAAGTGAAACCCAGATGCATCGCACATTTCAATGAACACAATTTCAAGGGAACACTGGCCGAGGCATTGGAAACCATGTCGGAGGTTGATGACTGCATGCTCTTTGCTGGGAATGAATGTGAGGTGATCAAGCCTGCGAGGTCTCTTACTTCTCTTGTGAAGGAAGCACATGAACTCCTGAAGACAGCATAAGAACAGGGCAACTGGTATGTCTGAATGATCAAGGGGACATCGTTAAGTATATATATTATTGTTATCAATATCTGAATGGAACCTGGACGTGCATATCGTGCTTCTGAAACCCTCCGGTGCCTAATAGATTGGTTCTGGGTTTGATGTGCGTAGGTATTTGTTTGAGGCGAGCTCCCTCTTATTTATAGTACTGTGGATCCGGGGCCGATCCAAAAAAGACTTGCCTAATATATTAGGCACTAGTTTTGGTGGATTTATTACTTGTGTACAAATAAGTTAACATGTTGGCTGAGATCACGTTCGAACATGTACTTGTTAGCTGAGACGACCTCATTCTCAATTCCTGTTTCTTTTGACATGTTTGCTTCAATTCTCCACAGACATTACAAGGGCACGGTGTCACCACTCTTTATTGAAGGCTAGTTGCTATTAGGCGAAACGAAATTGTGCTGGTCTGTCCTTCAAGAATGACTGGGCGTCGAGCCGTTGAGCAGACCGTGGATACAATACATCAGACATCTTGAACCTAATAAGTGAATCGAAAGTGAACGGGTCAACAGGTGCTGAAGATTTCACCTCTTGGTTACACACAGAAAGAGGCATCATCACTCAGCTTCAAGTGTTATTCGTGCTATCGGTTCTCCTGCACGCGGTTCAGGTCGTCTTGGGCTGGCGGCGGCGGTGCTCTACAAATGCATACATCAAGCACTCGCTCTGGCTGGCCTACACCATCAACACCCCTCTTGTGATCTATACTCTTGGGCTTGCACGGTCGTCTCCGCCTTCTGCCGCGAGCCAGTTGCTTCAGCGTGTGCTTTTCCGTTCGTCATGGCCCTGGGGAACACCAACTCCATGACAGCCTACAGTGTTGACGACAACAAGCAGTACATGAGGCACTTCATCCAGCAGCTTCTTCGTGTGCTCAGCCTCTTCGCCATGTGGAGAGCTAACGAAACGATTCTTACAAGCTCCAGTTTCCTTGTGCCCCTCTTGTATCTATTCTTGGCTGCTTTGTTGCTCTCAGTGAATGGGGGGAGGATTTACGCAAGCATGACTGCGAGCAGTTTCCTGGACAAACAAAGCAGATATGTTCAACTTCACATGAAGAGTGAGCACACGAAATCAACCAACTATAATCCTGTTACCCTGCATGGTTACAAATACCCATTCTACGAGGACTATAATGACCACGAAGACACAATAATTACGCTAGACAGGATCTGGTGCTCTAATGAAGGCCCATTAGGCACAAGTGATGGCAACAGCTGAAGGAGGCATGCCTTTCGTTTTCCTTGTTTCGGCTGTTGAGGCGCCGTTTCTTTGGGCTTGCTTGTCCAGAAGCCAAAGCCAAGATTAAGAAAACTTGTCACCTTGTTTTCAAAGGATTGCTACGTGCAGAGGAAAACTATGAAGCTGCATATAGGGTGATTGAGGCAGAGCTGGCTTTTGCACATGATCACTTCTTCACCAGCTGCGCTTCATTCTTCTGAGCATTGCTAAATCTGTTATATGTCCTGTCACAATACTGAGTTCGATCAAGGACTTCATCCACAGCAAAAACAAGAGCAGTGACTCAACGGGGACAGTAATCGGAGGAGGATTTGACCCTATCGTTACTGCACTAGTAGTAATGGTAGTGCTTATAGCACTGGAGCTGCTGCAGCTCTATCTTTATTTGTCATCTGATTGGGCTAAGGTAAAGCTTGTTCGCCGGTCTATATATTTTTTTCTCAGAACAAATAAGACAGCGTTGGTCCATCTGGTCCATCTTTGGGGCAGACACTTGTTTTGGAATGTTTGGCCTCTTCACTTTTCTTGGACTTGATAGGCATTGCAATAAGCTTCCCAGGATATTGGGATATTGGCAAAATAAGGTTGGCCAGCACGCATAACTAAAGGATTTGCATGGCCGATCATACATCGCTGATATCATGGGAGGCATGTCTGGGTGTTTCTTTGGTAAGTGTCTTGAGTTCCATCCGGTATTCTCAAGAGGGATCATAAACTCATGCATCAAGGGGCCATACCACATTCAGTTGACCATCGAAGTGAAGCTAGCAATTGCCAGAACTCTGAAAAAAGCCAAAAAGCGTCGCCTATCAAATGGAGCATCCTCATTCAAATGGAACAAACAGAGTGAGTTTCGATGGGCATTTGATCACACCAAAACCATGTTGATTTAGCATGTCGCTGTTAGTTATATAGGATCATTAGGAGCATAGATCTAGCCGGTAGAGTGGTTCTATTCAGGATAAAAGATGCAGCGCATCCTAATACATGTAGAACTAGAGAGACGGAGAGGGAAGGGAGAAGAACATGTCGAACCTGACACCGCAGAGGGAGATGGTCCAGAAGCCGCCATCTCGTTCGTCGGTGAAGTCTGCGCACGGACAGCGATGTTCGGGGAAGAGGTCGATGAAGTCATCGACGTCGGTGGATCGAGGTGGCGCGGCTGGTGGCTTCCCGTCACTGGCTGCGCCCCTCTCTGATCGGGATTTGGGTTTAGGTTTCGGTGGGGAGCTCGGCTCAGGCGAACCTAGTACTCAGAGCCGCCGTCCCCTACCTCTATATATTGCGCAGTGTGACAGGGGCCCTCCAGCCATAGTGGGCTGGGCGCCCCCGATCAGGGCGCGGATCAAAGGCCCAACTGGGCCGTTGGGCCCAGTTTAGGATTAGAGATCAATCTAACAATTTCCCCCTTGATCTCCTACCATCTTTCAATTTCATATCATTTACTTTTGTTCATTCCATTACAGATGAGCGCATAGAGCATGTTTCATCGCCACGATCGATTGCCGATAGATTTAACAACTACAACACACCACTCTGTTCTGAAATAGATACTTAACTTTGGGCCTTCTTTTGTCTAGCAATTATAGGATTTCCCTTAAATCCATGCCGGCTACATGTTCTCTGAATACGTTGGGTGGTAAGCCTTTTGTAAGCGGATCCACGAGCATCTTTTCGGTACTTATATGCGACTTATGACATGATCCCGGACTTTATCTTTCACAACATAATACTTTATGTCATTGTGTTTGGCAGCACCACTTGACTTATTGTTGTGAGCATACTGTACTGCCGAATTATTATCATAGTATAACTTAAGTGGTCTATAGATGTCGTCAACCACCTTCAAACCGGGTATGAACTTCTTTAGCTAGTTCATCTGCCCCATTGTCTCATAACACGCTACAAACTCGGCATACATTGTGGACGATGTAGTGACGGTTTGCTTTGAGCTTTTTCATGAAATAGCTCCCCCTACGAAAGTGAATACATATCTAGACGTGGATTTTCTATCATCTCCCGCATAATCAGATTCTGAATATCCCACTATATGGAGTAAATCTGATCTTCTATGTTATAACATGGCCACCACGAGTGGCGGAGACCTGCGCAGTCCACAGGATGCGGGGGCACCTCCGACCAGGAGGGCGAAGGCCTTCTCACCTCCAAACTAATTAAACAATGATCTTGCCTAATTGTGTGCAGGTACTGAAGCGCGGGCGCCCGGGGACCGCGCGAGCGCGCCAGCCTGGCCCCCGCGCGACCGGGCGGAGACCCACGATTGACGTCTCCGACCGGACCGGCGGAGACCCGCCAAGACGACGGCGCGCCCCTGAAGGTGGAGGCCAGAACGCGCCAGCATGGCCCCTACGCGGCCGGGCGGAGGCCTGCGGATGATGCCTCCGACCGGACCGGCGGGGACCCGCCAGGGCCACGGCGCGCCCCTGGAGGCGGAGGCTAGCGTCGACAGCCATGGCCCCCACGGGAGATGTCTCCGACCGGCCGGCGGAGACCCGCCGAGGCAGCGGGGCGCCCCTGGAGATGGAGCCCGGCACCGGGGACCCAGGCCTTTGGGCCGAAGACCGAAGCATGGTGGGCCGACTGCTCATGGAGGCCCATTACTCGGAGACGGTATTGCAGGATTGCCCCGCAAACAAGAGGCTAGCGGCGGAATATTCTAGGGATATACTGTAGCAGTTGAGGGGCATTGTAATAAATTCTGTTGTGAAGTAGTTGAGCCCTATAAATAGGGAACACTTGTAACCGTGCAGGGGGTTGAAAGAGGCATTAATGTAACCCGAGCTTTCCGTGCCCTTTCCCTTACACGCCCAGCGATCGTTCCTGTCAACCGAGCTTCCGCCTGAGGACATCCGTCCATGGGCGGAGGCCCCCAGTTACCTGTCTGAAACCGCAAGTTTCAACATTGGCGCCCACCGTGGTTGGCCAAGGCAAACCAAAGATGGTAGGGAAAAGAAAAACCACCACCAGAGCAGCAGCGACCACGGGTCAGAGAGGAAGGCCTAGGCGCACCACTCATAGCACCTACGCAACTTCACCAGCGGAGGTCAGTACCAGAGCAGATGCCCAGGGTCAACCACCGGAGCCCCAAGATCTAGAAATCCAAGGTCCGGAGGCCCAACCAAATCCAGGTGCAACACTCGACCAAGAACTGCAACAGCTGCAGGCGTAGTTGCAGAGAGCGCAACAAGAGAGAGACAGAATGGCAGCAGCGTTTGCAGCCAATCAGCAAGCTACTCAAGCATCAGCACAAGCAGCAGAAATCAGTCAGCAGTTGGCAGTCCTACATGCTGAGATGCTGAGTATGCAGAATGCAGTACCAGCCTCAACCTCTGCAATCCCAACCTCCACAGCAACAGCAACCATACCACAGGGGCCTTCGCCAGTGATCAACCAGCCCACAATGCCATCTCAGGTGACGCGGAGGCCTACCGATCCCAAGTCCCCACTTTCAGAAGGTATACAACAGTCGCCATGGCCAACAGCGTACAAGCCAATAACACTGCCAAAATTTAACGGAAAGACAGACCCCCATCAGTTCATCATGAGTTACGAGGCAGCAGTAGCCTCCGCCAGTGGAGACGACGCCGTCCTGGCAAAGTCTTTTGTTATTGCTGCCGAAGGCGACGCGTTGGCTTGGTATTCCATGCTCAAACCAAGCAAGATCTATTCTTGGGAAAACCTTTGGGACAAAATATTGGCAAACTTCAAAGGACTAGCCGCACAATCACTGACATCCACGGATCTGTTCCAGTGCAAGCAAATGCAGGGAGAGACACTACACGACTACTTCCGGAAATTCGTGCAAGTAAAGGCGAAGGCACCAGACGTCCCAGATGAGATCGCCATTGAAGCAGCGATCAAAGGCCTCCGAATTGGACCGTTCGCAGCACACCTAGCAAGAAAAAACCAACTTCCATACAACAGTTGTATGACGAGTTCGAAAAATACTGCAGATCAGAAAATGACCTCCGAAAAAGGCTGGAGGAGCAGGGTCAAAACAGACAGCAAAGCAGCAGTAAAAAACTCCCAGAAGAGCTACCCGAACCAGAACGCATCAAATCAGAAAACAGGCCAGAGGCAAGTGCTCAACATTGAGGGTCAACCTCAACCCGAACAAGGGCAATTGGCAACGCCAGCAGGACCGGAGACCCAAACCAGGAACCAAGGTCGGCAAGGCTACCAAGGCAAAAACCGGGACAAAAACAAGCAGAAACAACGCATGCCATATTGTGTTTTTCATGGTGAAAGCGCAGGGCACAGCACCAAAGATTGTCCGGAGACAAAAGAGACACAGGAAAGAATGAAGAACAAGCAGACTGCACAACCTCCAACACAGCAGAGCGCAAGAGAGGTCAACACCACCTACACAACTGGCCACCAGCAGTACTACCCAATGTATCCAGCGCTAAACGCAAACCAAATACATCCCTCAACACTGGCCTCCGCCTATTACCCAAACTTCCTACAAAGCATGCGTGTGCAACGCCCTCAGAAGCAAACATCCGTGGGCAACTACGGAGTTGGAGGCAAGCGACCTACATAAACCCAAATCCTCCCACATAACCTACCTCGAAACAAACCCACTGCCACAAAACCACAGCAGGTTCGAGCCTCCGCCTCAACAGCAACACATTCAACAACTGCTTCCGCCGCCTACTCACAACCAACTCCCAACACCAAAAAACGAGCCAAACCCAGAAAACCAAGTCAACCCCATGGACCGCTACCAACAATAGGCATGATAATCACGCCAATTGCGGAGGATCATCAATGGAGTTTCAAGCGAAAGAAAAAAAAAAGATCACCTCCGCCTGGTAAACAACGTAGCAGTCCAAGGCCCAGCAAAATACACAGATTGGTCCAGAGTCCCAATCACCTTCACGGAAGAAGATCTCCAGCTAGAAAGCTACCCTCACACAGACGCAATGGTAATCAAGACCAACATTGCTGCATGGGAG